TTAACCAATCTTGACCATTGATTCTTACAATAAACGGTTGTGATTAATCATAATAAAAAATTAATTATTAAAATTTACAATTTCAAAAAACATATGTGAACAAAGGGAAAATGTTATTTAGGTAATTTTTTTTATGTAACTCTCATATCATTAATTGGGAGTTACAAAATCAAAAAATCTCATTTCTTTTGTTAATATAAGAACCATATGAACACACACACAAATATATATATATATATATATATATATAGACTTATGAACAGCATGTGAACCGTATGAACATCTTCTGTATATTCGAAAGCCAACTTTGTTGTATGTACATGAACACGTATGAACCAATACATCTAGGGTTGTGTGTTTTTATACGTGCTCATATGTCTTCACATGTTATGTGTGTGTATGTATATATGGATTCATATGAACATCTAGTGACTTGGATATACCTGAACACTTATGAATCACGGCTTCTAAGGGTGTGTGATTTCTGATGTGTTCATATGTCTTCGTATGTTTGTGTGTGTCCCTATGTCTTCATATGAACATCTAATGCACTGTATGTTAACTTCATATGTCTTCACATGTAAACTGATTGAATCTCTCAACAGAGCCAGCTCCTGAATATACAGAAGTTGTTCAACAGGTCAGCTACAGTCACCTTTTTTGCAAGATAAGTGAGAACTGTCAAAGGTGAGAACTGTCGATTAAAAGGAATGCAATATCATATTAATCCATTTTGTTCAACATGTCTTCACTTCCGGAATTCGAAGTCCGATTGTCATCGTAAACCATTTTAACCTTCTCATTCTCATTGTTGTCGATCTGTTTTCCAATGGGTTTATCCATATTAGCTTGGACGATATCGAAAACTTTACTTTCGGAAATCCTTTAACAATCACAAATTCAATAACATTATAGATAGATAAATCAAATTTCAAAAACAATCACAAATTGAAAAACAAGATCAATATTAAATCATCATCAATTATGAACTTTTTAGATTTTGTAACTCCCAATTAATGATATGGGAGTTACACAAAATGATAAAATTAGTTAATTACCCTTGTCATTAACATATGAGATGTAACCACAGGGGTGGTGTCTGATTGGTTTGAGTTTGACTCCAAAGATTAAAAGTACCAGGATCCAAATCCATTTCTAGCTACGGAGGTTCAAATGTGGTGACTCTGGGCTATCTGCAAAGCAGGTGATCGCCTTGGGATTAGTATGCTCGCATATCGGGTTGAATATCCAGGTTAATAAAAAAATATATGAGATGTATGTGAACCTAATGAAAAGATTGATTTTCATTGGTTGAGCTTGGTTAACAAAGTTAACACAATAATCTTAGTTAACATTTGAACCAAGCTCTCTCTCTCTCTCTCTCTCTCTCTCTATATATATATATATATATATATATAGGGAGCGATAAAATAAAAACCGTCTTCATTTGTGTAAACCATATAAACCAATCTCATCCATCCATTTCCTTGATCAGTGGTCAATATTAGTTTATGTTATATTAGAAAATTAAAATAAATAAATAAATAAATAATTATTTTATAATTCCTATAAAGCCAAAATGGTAACTTTGGTAGTAGTAATATTAATGGCAACCATATCATATATATCGTAATATTAATGTAACAAAATCATTTGTAAAATAATATATTAATTTTATGTTCAAATATTATAAATAAAATTACATCCATCATTAAAATAGATCAACAATAAAAATAAAACACACTATAATCAATTTAACATAATGAAACCTTTTGAATAAAAAAAATCACTACTACATTTCATGAACGAAATGGTTTCACAGTTTAATCAATACACAAATCAACGTAATGCTAGATGGGATATTTGTCATTTTTATGTTATTGGTTGATGGATCCGTTTCAATCTAATTATGAAATTGTTGCACTATTTGCTAATTACATAACATTTTCTTAACAATTATGAAATGGTTTCACTTTCGTCATGCACCCATTTCATCGGCAAAGTTTTTTCAATCCGAACACGTTTCATAGCGTCCATGCATTTACCATTACAGGCTTTCTTAACCATTTCATCGGCAAAGTTTTTTCAATCCGAACACGTTTCATAGCGTCNAACACGTTTCATAGCGTCCATGCATTTACCATTACAGGCTTTCTTAACCATTTCATCGGCAAAGTTTTTTCAATCCGAACACGTTTCATAGCGTCAATGAAATGGTTTCACTGTCTTCAATCACCCATTTCATCGGCCAACAAGGTTTGTTGAGTCATTTGTCATTTCACGCTATTGATAATGAAATTGCT